GGTGCGGGCGGAGGCTCCGGGCATTGTTCTCCAACTTTCCGCGCTCGTGGGGGCCGCGGCCCGCAGACCCGGCGACTCGGGCGTCCCCTACGCGCGGGCCAACACTTGGTCAAACTTTGCAGCGCCGGGGGTGCCCGGCCCAACTTGGTGCGGCCCCCCGGTGCCGGCCGGGGTGTCGGGCGCCCCCTCCCCCGAGAGGCCCGGCGGGCGCGGAGGTGCAGGGGCGCGGGAGGCGGAGGCGAGTCCTTTTGTCTGCGCGGGCCCGGGCCGCGGTGCGCACGGCGGGCTCAGGTTGGAGGGTCGGGCGGTGGGGGGTGTCCCGGGACATCTGCTCCGTGTTAGTGCGGGGCGCGGCGGCTGTTTGGGCGCCCCGAGCTTCAAAGGGCCCCGGGCCGCGCCGCCTGCACCGGCTCCGGGGGACAGGAGGGGGGCTTGTTTCCTGGGCCTCCTCCTACCCCTCCCCCTCCGTGGCAGAAAGTCAGTTTCAAGGCCCCCCCAGCTAGTTTCAAACATCTCCCAAGTCCGTTTCAACTCCCCTTAAAGTGCTTCTGACCCCCCCAAAAGTCTTGCGTCGCTCCTCACAAGTTTATATGAACCTTCCTTACGATAGGTTTCCACGACCCTTCAGAAAAGTCTGCTTTTGGGCACCTTAAAAAACTCAGTTTCACATACTCTCAGAAAATAAAAAGAAACTCGGAGAAGTGGGGAGGTGCGCTGGAGCGCCCGTTTTCCACTCCATCCCCAGTTGGCAAACAAAGAAGGGGATTTCTCCGTTTCTGAAGTTGGGTTCCCCCCCACACACCGCGGTTTCTCCTCGACCGCTCCCGCCCCCACCCAGGGAACCTTGAGTGGAAAAATTAGGAGCAGAGGGGACCTCCTTGCTTTGAAATGAAGCCCTTTCTTGGCCCCGTTTTCTGGGGCGAGAGGGGGGCTGGCAGGTGGATCCCAGAGAGCAGCCCTCTGGGACAATGGGAGGGGGAGCCTGGTCTTGGGACACTGCCCCCCCTTCCCTCTTGGGGCGGGAGGCAAGGATGTTTTTAAAGTTGCTTAAAAATAATTCCCGGATACGTCGTGGCAATAAAACAACTCCGGATTGTTTTTTTCTTTTCTGACTTTCAGTTTTTTGGGGACAGGGTGGTGAAGTGTTTAGGTAAGCTTCAGAGGCCAACCACTTTAAATCTCCTGTGCGGGCGTGGGGGGGGGCACCCCCTCCCTTTAAAGCCGTGAAGTGGGGAGGGGGCTTTGCCGCCTCCTGTCTTGCGGGCTTTTTTCACTCTGGATCTGGGGGTGATGGCCTCCTCCATGCTCTCACAGCTGCTGTAGAAGGGGGGGAGATACCAAATTTCCTTGAGGCGGGGCCCGGGTCCAGCCTCCCCCTGCCTGGGGGAGGGGCGTGGGGCGGCCTGGGGGTGGTTGGAAACCGAGATGTAGCTGGAGAGAGAGAGGGGCGGGTTCCGGCCAGAGGGCCCAGAGACCGCTCCCGCCCCGCCCCCCAGTTTAAATTTTGCAGTGTGATTCCCTGGTGGTCGCCAGGGGAGTTTAGGGAATTTATATTCCACCCCCTCCCTCATTGTGCACACTCCCCGTTGCTGTGGGAAGGGGTCTCCAGGGTTCCCCTATCCTAGCTCCTGTGCCCCCAACCACAGAGCCAAAAACGGATTTCGTTTGGGGAGGGAGACCCCTGCTCCTGTCGCTAACTCCTCTTTGCCCCCACTCTCTGCCCTGTCTCTCCCTTTCTGGCTGCACTCCTGCCCAGGGCTCGCTCTTGGCCTGAGGTCCCTACCCTGGTCACCAGCCCACCCCTGCTGTTGGGAGAATGAACCAGCCTTCCAGGATGGCACCTGTGGGGACAGACAAGGAGCTCAGTGACCTCCTGGACTTCAGCATGGTAAGGGGACCCTGGGACCCCACCCCCACCCCCAAGAGCTGCTGAAATTACTCTCTACACCTGGACCTCAAGCTGGCTGAGCCCCCCAGGGCAGTATGCAATATGTGCAGACTCCCAGGACCCAGGCTCTGGGCAGAGGCACCTGTTAGCATGGTTCCCAGCCTCAGGTGGAGTGGACACCATCCCTTTTTATGGATGGGAAAACAGGCAAGAGAGGGAGAGGTTCCTCTGTGGGGTGTGGGACCTGGGGTGCTCCAGTCTGCGGCCACATCTATAAATTAAGTCTGATCCTGGGGACCTGAGCCACCAGGACAGGCGTGGCTCCCCGTTGGGTGTGGGCAGGTGCACAGACTGGAAGATTCATTACGTACGCATTTAGTCATAAGAAGCTGGGGAGAGGAGACACTCAGTAGAAGGCTGTGTTGAGCAAGCTGCTCTTACAGTTACTACCACCATTGTTGGGGTGTGACCTGTCTGGGAGCTGGACAGGCGGCCCAGCAACCAGCATGCTCCATGGACCTGGGAGCTCATGGGTGTCCCAGGGCTCTGGAAGCTTCTATAGAGGCCTCAGTGTGCCCGTCTGTGGAGTGGACATTCCTGTGGGGTGGGGGTGGGGAAAGGGTGGTCAGCAGTTCCTCACAATGTTCGGCAGTTTTGTCTTTCTCTTCCGGCCAACTTGATTCCCCGAATTCTGCCCCCTACCTCCCCCACCCTAAACAGTACAGGACGTGGGGGGGGTGCTTTCAGTCTGAGTTTAACTCTCCCCTGGGGGACACAAGGCCCTGGCCACTGAGATCTGTCAAAAACAAAAGTCCCCAAACCGAAACGACACCAGCAAGTTGCCAAACACCACCACCCCCCCCCTACACCCCCATGAAAAACAGTCTCAGGCCTAGGAGCCAAGGTTCCGGAAGGGCCACACCGGGCGGGCGGTATTTTTAAGCCCATCTTATTTTTGTCTTCCCGGCTGAATAGGCAGGGGCGCATTTTGGTTGTTTTGTTAAACTGACAGGTCACGGGCTGTTGACCTGGAACGGAGGAGCTATGGGGCAGGGGGGCGGGGAGCTAGGTGCCGGATCTGGCTCCTGTGCCTTTGTAGCCCCCCAGCCCTGAAGGTGAATACACTCACCTTCCCCCATGTCCAGAGGGTCCGAATGTCTCCCTTGCTTTAGCTGGGAGCCAGCGACCCATGTCCCAGACAAGGAAACTGAGGCGAGCCCGGTGAGGTTCTAGGCTATATGCCACCCCCCTGTGTGACCCCAGGAGAGAGGTCACCCAGAGCAGAGGTAGCTGCCCTGTTAAAGCTCATAGCCCTCGTCTAGCCCTTTCCAGCCACCCTGGCCCACCTGTCCCAGGGACCTTAATCTGTTTCTTTAGAAGTGCTAACTGGTCAGACTGAAACCAAAAACACACTTCACGGCAGCCTTGCCTTCCGGCGCTCTCGTATGAAGTAGGGGAAAGGCAGCTGTGAGAATCAACAGAAGGGAAACCTCAGTGGTGCCCCTAAACCCCATGATGAGCAGCCCCCGGCTCTGTCAATGGGAGATGGTCAGGGAAGCCTCTGGACCTGAGGTGGTTGGGGGGGAGGGGCTACCTCTGTGATCACCAGTGCCCCCAACACAGGATAGCTGTCGGGGCTGAGTTTCTAACACCTCTGGAGCTCAGAGCTCTTGGGAACACAGAAACTGTACTCATTGTGAGGATGGGTCCGGGCTGGTCATGGGGACACAGTCTTCCACCCTTGTGGCAAATGCCACATCAGCTTAGTCCCTGGGGACCCAGAATCCAAAACAGATCAAAATGAGTCAAGCCTCCTCCTCACCTACCTCCGGAGCTTGGCTGCTAAGCTCTGGAACCCCTCTCCCAACCCAGCCTGCACTTCCCTCAGTGGGAAAGTATTGGGGGGGGGGGACAGGGCCGTTTTATATTGACTTAAGAGCCCAGTGGGTGCAGACCCCAATGAGGGCCCGCCCCCAGCCTGGCCTCCGCTCCTCCCCTGAGCCTCTGTTCTTATCCCCACCGAGCCAGTCTCCCTCCCTGTAGAGTAAGTGGATGGGGATAGAAGAAGCCCAGGGCTTGAAACAAGGTGTGTGCATACCCTTTCACTTCCTGCAGGCCTGGGCAGGTTGTGGGGGCTGCTCCCCAACAAGACTCTAACCTCAGTCCTGGCCACATTTATCCCTGGGACCTCAAACCAAATCTTTAAAACCAAGACCCTCGGGGCAGGACAGGGGTGTGTTTTGTTTTTTCTGTGGCAAAAGGGTTTGTTGATGTTGGGTTTTTCCGGTTAATGCCGCTAAGCTGTTTAATCTTCAAGGATTTAGCAAGGTGGGGATGGGTGAGCCAGGCGGGCGGGCTCAAAACCAACATCTAGGAGAGCCACCAAAACAAGCTCTGGGAGACAGCCCCTTCCCAGCAGCGAGCCTTCTGCCTCAGTTTCCCCTTCTGTTAAACAGGCAACGCCGACCCTGTGGGGAGGGGGCATGAGGACCACTGAGTAGCCAGTCAGCCTAGAGCCCAGCCTGTTGCCCAGCCTTCCCCACGTGGGGTGCCCTGTCCTCCTCACAGGGTCCCGCGTACACTAGGACACCTCGTAAGGCCGTTAAAAGAAGTTTCAGACCCGCCTGCCCACCTGGCCCACTGTAAAGGATCTCACTTTTTAAAACAATGGAAACTTTAAGAAACCTTTTTATTCCAAGAGCGGATAAACCTGTCGCTAACCCTAAATGGGCTCTCCCCATAAAAGAATCTTCTCCTAGATCTCTTGTCCTTCCAGCAGACGGTTCCAACGAGGTGTTAAAGCACTTGTTGGCCTAGACAGCCGCCACGCATTCCAGTCAAGTCAAACTGGATGAGCAAGCCCCCTTTGTCTGTTGTGATAAGGATATCTGTGTGAGGTCGTGGTATTCAGTGGCAGAACCCTCGGCTTCCATAAGAGAGACCCGAGTTAGATCCCCACTAGTGATCGTCACACAAAACCAGCGCCAATCTGTGTCCTTGGAGCAACAAGGTTAAGACTAGGAGGAAAGGCCTGGTGATCTGCCATGGAAACCTGTGACTCACAGAGGTGTGGTCATGGGGGTGGCTCGATGGCAGCTCACAACAACAGAGACATGAGGGGACCTCAGAAAACCCTCAGAAAAATTCTGTTGTCTTTTCCACCTGGATGAGGGGACTTCTCCACGGACTTGAAGTCCCCTCATCCAGGTGACAAGACATTTACTGTCTCAGCGTTTTGTGCTTGTCGGAGTTCGGCAACCAGCATGCTGTACAGCTGCCTTCACTCCGTCCCCAGAGTGTCCCATCAGTGCCTCCCAAGCATTGACGCCCCTTTCCCTCTTGCCCACCTCGAGCTTCAGAAGTACCAGGACCTGAGGTGGAGACCCGGCTGCCTGGGGTGCCAAGGCTGCTGGGACTATGGGGTGGTTTGGTTTTCCATCCACTCTCTCCTCTCCCTCTCCTTCCCCACAGATGTTCCCGCTGCCCGTGGCCAACGGGAAGGGCCGGCCTGCCTCCCTCGCTGGCCCCCAGTATGCAAGCTCAGGTAGGACCCTCACACTGAGGGAAAAGGCAACACTGTGCGGAGGGTCTGGCGTGGATGGATCCTGGGTGGAACAGGGTGGGGGGCAGAGCCAGAGGTCTCTACCAGTCTAGCAGCCAGACGCCAAAGGACGGAGATCTTGCGGGGCCTGGCAAGATGAAGGGGCTTTGGGGTATCAGGCCTAGGTATGCACGCTGGAATGGGGTTGTTGAGCCAAGATTGTTTGCTCTCAACATCACCACTAACTGGCAAAGCCCTGGCACGGGGGCTGCAGAGGAGCCCACCGCTCAGCTGACAGACGGGGGGCTCCTCAGTCAACAGGCGGGGGGCTCCCCAGGCGGTGTGTGCGGCTCAGCATTGCACAGCTCCCACAAGGAAGGCAGCCCCTCTGCTCCAGGAAATTCCAGGCTATGAGGCCCCAAGAGGGAGGAAAATGAGCCCAGCAAAGGCGTGACGTGGACCCCCCCCCCACACACACAACTGGCCTCATCTCCCCCACCCTGTAAGCCCTGGGCCAGGTTTGGCTGCGTAGCTGTTGTAATTGGAATATGGACTAGTCACTTATGGTATTCAGGAACCTGCCCTAGTTTAACCCCCTTCTCCTAGTTCCCCCGGAACCCAGGGCCTTTCTGGGATGTGGTACTTGGAGTGCACCTGCTAGAACTTCCCAGGCAAACCAGGACCAGGAGGTCACCCCATCGATCTGGCGGGACAGGGACGGGGACTGAAAAGTTAACATGTGTACTCTGGGAGAAACTTAAAAGTGGGGTCACAAGGCTGAGCTGGCAGAAGCCTTTGAGGAGGGTCTTGAAAGGGGGTGTGGTAGGGGCTCCCAGTGTGTGAGGGGCACAACAGCCCAGGCAGAGACCCTGAGGCATGAGTGGGTCTGGCGAGTGTGGCTGGAATGGAGTCAGTGAGGGGAGAGGGCATGCGGGAAGCCAGAGTAACCTGAGGCGCTGGTGGCCCTCTTCCACGTGGGACATGGGTTCAATTCGCATCTGTTTCTGGAGGCTTGTGTTGCGTTGTGGTGTGAAACAGGCTGCAGTAGGGCTTCCAAAGACCACCAGGAAGAAAGACGTGGTGGTCTTTTACCAGAAATCAACCAGGGAGACCTGATGGACCTTTGCAGTCTGGTCCATAGGATGGGGCTGGGTGGCGCGTTGTTCCATGTTCCGTGTGGCTGTGAGTGGCTGCCCCCGGGAACCCTTGAGGCCGGGCAGCTGTAGCTGCTTCTGGTTTAGAGTCCGGGGTTCTCCTGGGCTCGGGGCCTCGGCACCTTTCTAGGATCTCGGTACAGTGCCGGTTGGCATCTCTGGTTCGGGTTCAAGGAATCTGGTCTGGGTGTATAGTGGGGAAAGAGGAGGTGCTGCTTATGCTGCCTGCCTGGTCGCTTTGCCCCTGAGGAAGTGTCTGCAGACTGGCAGAGTTGTCCGCCTCCCCACCCCCACCCCCACCACCCCACCCCCCAGCCAGGAAATCCCCAAGGGCCCCAGCATGCCCCCAATGCCCAGACTTCTGTGCTTAGGGGATGGGAGGCCCAGGGCCTTCCTGGAATCAGTGGTCATCCACCTTGTCCACTTCGCCCTGGCCTCTGCACCTGACTCGCTGTGGGAAGGGGTCTGTACTCACCCCCCCAGTCTGTCTGCAGACCCCTTGTGGGAAGGCCAGCAACTATCATCTCTTTTCTTCAGCAAATGCTATGCTCTCACCTTCCTGAACTCCATCCTGCCAGCTCCGCTGTCCGCTAGGCGCCCAGCCATCTACCCACTGTGGTTGAGCCAGCCCCCTCACAGCCCCCACACGCATGTCAGGAGACCTGGGCTCCATGGGCTTCTCGGGCTGAGTTTTTGGATGTGGATCTCCATGCCTTTCTTTCGAGGTCTCAAGCCTGTGACCTCTCAGAGGACTGGAGAGGAGGACTGTTTCCTTATGCCCCTGGCCATTCCCGTTAACCACATTGTGATGCCCGCGCATGTCAGCATAGACCTGTGCATCACGGCATTTTCAGTGCTGGTTTGGAAAGCAGATTGCCAGGTTTTTCTTCTGAGGCACTTTTGATTGGACTCAGACTTTGAGCATTTTAGTGAGCGGTCCAGCTTTTTCACTGTTTCCTCCACCGGGGATTCCCTTATCTCCTCCTGCCTCTTCCTTGAAACAACTCGTTTCTCTTAAATGCGTTTTGAAAGGAGACTAGATAGCAAAAATGCAGCAACAGAGACCGGGAACGTAAGGTGTCCCTGAGAAGAAATGAAGTAGAAGCTGAGGGCTAACCAGGCTAATAGAACCCGCCTGGTCTCAATTTGAAAAACTGGTACTGGGGGAGGGGTCTCTGAGCCCTGCAGTCTCTAGATCTCTCTCTCTGAGCCCTGCCCTGTCTGAATCTGGGTTGGAAGGCCACAGGGATGGCTTTCTCCGGCCTCCTTTTCCAAAGCCCTCAGGCACAGCTGTCGTTGATGGCCTCATCACTGCCAAAAAAGAGGCTCCTGATCCACAGGGGACATCAGGAAGTGCTCAGTGATGGGACAGGGGAAATTTCTTTACTATTTTTAACCTTTCCCCCAGCTTTCTGGGCTTGCGTAACTAGAAGTGGGACCCAGGCTGGGAGGGAAAGGCCAACACTTGGAAGGGTCCCCCGTCTGCGGTCTGTCTTTCCTTGGGCTTCAGTCTGTTGTGGCACAGCCAGGGGAGAGGATGATCATCTTTTCAAAAGCTGGCTGCCCTCTGCGTTCGCATGCATGTATCCTTTCTGATACTTCTGTTGTTGAGAGAAGCCACAAGCTTCTCTTTGTAATTCAGTGAGCTGTGCTCCTCTTTTCTGGGTGGCTTCTGCTCGATGAACAGACTCCGTGCCACCTAAAGTTCCCCCTTCACCCTTCAAGCCACTGTTGTCATTGTGGCCCTGCGAGAGTTCTTAGAAAGCGCAGTGCTTATGTGCAGTGCGTTCCTTCTGATGAGTTCCCTCTCGTCTCCTGAGCCCGGTGTTGGGGAGTTGGTTGACTTTTCACGTTTGGCTAATTTCAATTTTTAAGTAATTAGGGATTTCTGGAAGTTGCAAATAAATGTTCATGGGGCCTCCCCTGAACCCCAGAATGTTTGTTACACCACCCCCTGATGGGGAACAATACATGGAGCTTGTTTGGATTTCACCAGGTTTTCGTGTGTTTGTGTGCGTGTGCGCGTGTGTGTGCGCGTGCACGTGCGCGTGTTGACGTCACAGCTCCATAGAGCTCTTGAGACCACCATCTTTATCGCAACACTGTGTACTGGGTAGCTTTTCCCGGGATCTGCTGGGTGAGTTTGGGTCGGCAGCTGAGAGTGTAACTGCTTGTGTGTGGAGTTCTGTGCACCTGGACCACAGGTGTGGCCTCGGGTCACTATCATCAAAAATATTTCAGAATGGCGTACACGAAAGACCTTCAGAAAGTACTTGGACACATGGAACTAAAAGATCGTGGATGTTTTCCCACAAACTTGGTTTCTTTCTGACTGTGAAGTGGGTGATGGTTCAGAGTCAGTTTTCCGGTCAACAATCCAGGCTCATTGTGTTTCCTGTCGTTGACTGCACCCCCGCGTCCCTCGAACTCCCTTCTCTTCCCTTGCCCTCCGGAACTTTGTCCTTCGGTTAGTCTGCCCTCTTGATCTCAAATGGTTGGTGATTCTGAGGCGTGTGTGTTACTGTTCGACACTATAGACCTGTGGAATGTATATTACACTATAGACCTGTGGGACGTATGTTACACTATAGACCTGTGGGACGTATGTCACACTACAGACCTGTGGGACGTATGTTACACTATAGACCTGTGGGACGTATATTACACTATAGACCTGTGGGACGTATATTACACTACAGACCTGTGGGACGTATGTCACACTATAGACCTGTGGGACGTATGTCACACTATAGACCTGTGGGACGTATATTACACTATAGACCTGTGGGACGTATGTTACACTATAGACCTGTGGGACGTAG